AAGAAGAAGGGAAGGAGTCAAATGCTCCATGAGTTGACTGGCAGAAGACACAACTGATTCGGCCCTACCTTCAGCGTTGTGCAAATTGATCGTACTTGCAGCGGGCGGCGGTACTGATGACGTATGTCCTCGGTCTGCATATTGCTGTTGATTTCTGCCGAAAGTGACTGCACTTGCTCAGGCATTGTCAGGGCGGACGACTCCAACTCGGGTGTTATCTTTCTAAATTGGAACAGATGGCGAAGCCGAGTACCAAGATGGGCAAGTCTATGTAAATAACGAGGGAAATCAACGGAAACACGGGAACTGTCCGTGTTTTCCACCAACTCTGTGATTTGCAAAAATTTGTCCTGACAAAGGAAAGATTATTTGGCGTATCCTTCAAACATTTCGTAGTGATGAACTGCTCGGCGTTCACTTCAACATCGCGCGAGGTCCTGAACAAAGCTCTCAGTGCAGCCACATTCAACCCGTCGATAGGAATCCCTCGAAGGCGAGCTAATACTCTTGTTCAGTGGTTGCCAACCTGTGGTCCGCGGACCCCCGGGGGTCCGCGGGATAGTTTATTTTCATTAAACCTTTATCTTATCATGTTCCTCACAACTGGGAGATTTGCAATTTATATCTCTGGCACTTGAAGCCCATGGTTAAAGTAAAATTTAACGGGACTGTTATTACCATAACGGTACCTTCCCTTTGTAAAGCAGAGGTGAATAACCAACGGTTTGTGTAGTTTTTCCGAGGACATTTTCTTGCCATTGCATCTCAGACCCGTGTTTCAGGGTGGACTGTTGTCCTGCTTACCTGCTGTCCCCTTCCCAACCAAATCCATCCCCCTTTGGTTGGGAATAAAGCTGGGACCATTGGCCACGTTTCTTATTCATTTCAGTGGCAGAGTGAACAACCTGTGTGTCTTTGGTTTTTGTGCTGCGAACTTTTATAATATTATACAAGTGTGTTTTTCTCGGTTTAATATTAAGTTTTTCTGCTTTTGTTGAGTTCACAACGAAACTTCTGATTTTCAGTTTGTTCATGATCTTATTTAGATATGGATAAGTGGTTAAAGTGTGGATCGTTGATTAGGTGAGTGTTAAATTCATAATATTAGGCCTAATTGATATGATCGTGATCTTCCGAATAAGCTCCATTTATAACAGTATTTTATTGTCATAAATGGCACATTTAGTGTTGTAAAATTGCAAGTTACTGCTCCACCTTCATGATATATAAAATATAAAAAATTTACATTTTGGGTTTTATGGGGGCCGTGGTCAATTAACATTCGGTACAGGGGGTCCGCGGCATCAAAAAGGTTGGGAAACACTGCTCTAGTTCGTCCCTATGCAAGTACTCAGGCAGTACCGTCTCTGTAGTCATAATGAAAACAACATAAAGAAAACAGAAAACTAAGACAACGCCCCAAAGATACCAAAAACCAAAAGACGCTCGGCTACCACTTTGAAACGTGAAAAGGTCTTGAAGACCGAAATTTGGTTTTTGGGTAGGACGTACCAACTCAAAGACACTATAACAAATATATCAAATGACACTATATATATCAGTACTAAATGCGAATACAATGTAAGTCCCTGGAGGTAATAGGCCTCCGGCAATCAACCAATCAAAATCGTACAGACCAAGAAAAGAATGAATCGACTGAACAGTTCAAGCTCCCACAAGAGAATGGATCACTCTCGTTCTCTCGTTGGATCTCAGCTGTCCGGAACCAGGATGTGGAGCAGTGGAAAGCCGGAGATAGTAAAGGGGGGAAGCCCTCTGACGTAACGAAGGCACGGCGTTACATCCTGGACCTACGTGTGGTCGGTAACTTGTCCAGCGTTTACATACAGAGTGTGTAATATAGGCATATTTTAACTCCGTGACTTTAGTCCGCAAGCGAACTATACCGACCGAGCGACAGCCGATTGTCGGCGAAGTTTAGTGCCAACTTTTGAATCTCATTATTACATCAAGTATCTGGAACTGCCTAACCGAATTTCGCTTAGTCCGTCCGGTGTTAAGTCTAATCAATTGCTCTTTCTAAATTAGTCATCCAAATTAATCACGTAGAAATTCCTTTCGAATTATTTCGTATGACCTTATGTCCTGGGCGCTATGAAGTTAATATCCCGCGCGTGAGCATTCTCTCTCAGTCCCAGGACACGGACCTGACTTCACCATTAGGAACTCCCGAACTATTCCGCGTGCCGCTTGCAACGTCACACATTCCTAAGTCTTTATTTTAAATTAACGATCACGAATGAGCGACATGGCTTTCATTGAAGTCGTTCTGTATGCCACTCTTTCCCTGATCGTATAGCCTGCGAATTGCGAGTCAGCGAGATTCTCATTAAGACTGCCGTCTTCTGGGATTGTGAGGCCGTGCTGTTTGGCACATAGGTGCCAGTGTTTCAGAGGAACCTCTTGCCTCCTTCTTCAGGATAGAATAGTGATTGTCATCTCGTTTAGCTTAGTTTCGGATGACTTTCCCTTCTTCCATGTTTGTTGTAGAAGAGCGGGGTGTATCTAGAAACGTTTCAGGGTCTCCTTCAGAGCAGAACATGGGATGTTAGCCGTGTAGTCTGTTAGATGTAGAGAAATCTGATAGTTTAATAGTTTAATGAATAGTTTAATAGTTTTTAATGAATTTAATAGTTCCCGCCCATCTCAATATACAGGTCCTTACTGAAATAACCGGCGGAGGTCGTCGAATTTTTAAGGGAGGAAAAATTCAGGGAACAAGTCCTCCGGAAGGGACTTTAAGCCGTGGGTCCCGTGTCGTAGCTTTACGGCACTTAAAAGAACCTCATATCTCCAAAGGTCACTGAGCCAAATTACGGACGTTTCCCGCCCAACAGCAGTCTCTAATACCTCTGGTAGATGGGGGAAGCATCATAGATACCTCTCAGCTAGTTGAGCCGGTCTCGCTGGCTGGGCGGGACTGATGGTAAGCACCAGTACCGGTAGGATATAGAGACTGGTAGAAATCATAGAGGGAAGCACAATGGACCAATACAGGTCTAAGTGCATGGGGAAACCCACCATCTCAAATAACTAACTACTGAAACATTTTAAGGACAGAAAGCGTAATGATTTCTGCCTAGAGGTCGTTGTTGGTGCTATTGACATTACATCAAAAAATTCCCACGGCCAAATCTCAACATCAAATATTGAAGTAAATAAGCAATGTGTTCCGAATTTGTACTTTTCCTAAGAATAGCGACTGATGATTTTATTTTGTGGGGAAAGAATAATTTTAAATACAAGAAAGGCCTAGGAAATGCCCATCCGGGCTAGTCGACAGATGACAAATAGGTTTCTTGGCAGATCCATGTGCTGTTCCACATGTACACCAGCCCGTTCAGTTTAGTCAGCTGTGATTTCTGTAGCTGTGTTACAGAGACCACTGGAGACCACAAGGCCCACGAGTGACCACAACCCTCACGATTAGAACAAACTGATGCGTCATCGGTGCAAGATATTACGTTCCAAAAGTGTAAGAATAGTGGTCGTTCTTTAGGGAATCATTAGGATCATTCGATTTCCTGATATTTTGAGAAATTTCATGATATTATTCTGCTGTTTCAAGTTCTAGTTCGGATTTTGCCAAACTTCGCAGCGCCCATTCTGAAGGTTATTTTTCTAGTAGAATGCACATTTTTACTGTTTTATGACCTTTCTCCCTGTTAGACATAACGAATCCGACTTATAAAGGAAGTCATGAGAGCTGATGGTCGATGGTGAACTGGTTGAAGTTGCAGGGCGTACAAATGCATTTTGCGGCTATGCGATGTAAATTTGTAGAGTAGTCCATGGTTTAGGCTGACCGTCTAACAGTGTATACACTTTTTCACCTTATTCTTCACTTCCACACTATATGTTTCAGCACTAATGTGCCATCTTCACGTGTCTTTATGCACGTTAAACTATTGTACTGCATGCCATAATGTTGTGGGGCTCTTACCAACGCCTGTAGTCTTGTCATTACTCCTATGACAACCCACTTCTTCGGAACAGTTTGTTGGCCCTGAAAAGGACCGTGGCTGCTGAGATGATTGACCGGTGAGGTAGCGCGGCGCGCGCCGGTAAGGAGAAAGGCTAGTGAAAGGCGAGTGGCCTGGCCGCAGTGCGGCCGTGGCTGGAGGTTGCTTGGTTGCCGTGCGGCAGCGTGAGTTGGAGGTTGCTTGATCGCAGTGCGGCAAATGGCGGAGGTTGCTGCTGGTGGTGGTGATGAAAGGCTAGTCGTCGAGCGCGGTCGTAGTAGCCATGAGGCAGTGGCTATGCCAGATGCCCAGTGAGTCGGGCCTTAACACGACCACCGGCGAGTCCAGGTGCGGTGCCCCAGTGAGTCGGGTGTGAGAGCGCCGGAGGGCCGAGGCAGTCGTGCCCGGCGCAGCCTGCCGATGTCTCCGAAGACCGAGCGCTGGCGACGAAGCCTGCTGGTTGAGGATGCTTGATGTGGCTAGCCTGTAGACTGATGATGAACTGCGTGGAACTGAATTGACTGAATAACTAGGCTCTGGAGTCGCTCCTTTTTATACGCTGGTCGATGGGGCGGAGCCAAACTCGAAAGTGAGGAGGAAGAATAGATTGGCTAGCGCGCGTAATGACGTAGATGCGGGCCAGGAGCGATCCCAGTATAAATATGAACGTTTGAAGCAATCTGGTTGGTTAGCGCGCGTGATGGTGAAAAGCGATGTGAAGAGCGAGCATTGCAGAAATGCCACATTTCGATGTGGTGTACCGAGCTGATTGATTGGTAGCGAGAGCGTCGGAGTTCTTCGGATGGGACTGAAAAGATTGTCTGTTTAGGTGTACTCTCTTACTGGTACATAACTGGTGAGAGATTCTCTGTTTGAGTAGGAGTTCGGGAGACGTTACGGAAGGAGTTTGAGAGGTCCCAGGTGACCATAATCTTGAGTGCTCCTCTATAGCCACCTAGTGACTATTCTGTTACCAGTGCATCGGTGGCGGTGGCCGTCCCGTCTGCAACGGTCAAAATGGCGGAGGCGACATCGTGCGAAACACGATGGAACGCAATAGTGGCTTCGTTCGAGAGAAACCACGTGAACTTAAAACTCAGTAATCCTGACTGCCAGGAAGACATTGAACTACTGGGGAAAGGACTACAAACGATCGGACAGCTTATCCATAATTCGCCCTCAACAAACGGAAACGGTGTAATAGGGAACAAGCTGATATCAAAATTCGAGGCAGAGAGGACAGTGCTGTCTAAGCACCTCGAGGGCAAGACGCTGTTTACAGCCATGCTGCGCCTCTATGCTGCCATCCACAGGGAGATGCGAGAGTCTCTCCTGCTGGAAGGGAAAGACGATTCAGCCGAGGAGTTTCGCGAACAAAGGAGACGTAAGCGAAACTCCTCAGCAGAACAATCTAAGAAACCAAAGCAATCACCTAGCCCACGGGAACCTAGATTAAAATCGAAGGAGAAAGTTGAAATTAGAAATTTCTTCGCGCCCCTGAGGACGTCAGGTATGGACGTGGAAGAGTCGTCCAATAAGCCGGGAGAGCAGCAA